ACTCACCTCAGCCTCCCAAAGGCGCGGGATTACAGGCTGAGCCACCAAACCCGGCTCACACTTGAATCTTTAAGACTTCAGCCTTCAAGGGAAAAAAAGGGTCCTTCCCTGGGAAAGTTTGGCGATCTTTTCCTTTTCCTTTGATCTTCTCTTCAGGGTCCACAAAACTTCCAAAGTCACATGCCAAGCATCTGAGCTCTCTGGTCTGTAGGAGATGGGCTATGGTACTAGAAAACACAGTAGCTGCCAGCACCTGACAATGACTGGACAAAAGCAGTGGCTTGGCCACTGGCCACTAAGAGCAATCCCGCATGTATATTGGCTTCCTTAAGTCATTGGAGTTATAGTAACCAACAAAGTGCCTAACTTGTCAATTTGTTTCTTTGATTGTTAGCAAGCAAAGAGACTTCCTGTAAGCGAGAAAAGAAAGATGGCGACGGGGACTCTTCACAAGCAATGGAGAAACCAAAGTTGCAGAGCCAACTCACCCTTGTAACCGACTCAGAAGCAGCTCTGGTCAGAGCCTACGTTGAGCAAAGACAAGCCAGGCATCCTTCTCAGTTCCACGAGATGACCCAGAATCCACATGACAGTGACACTACAGAGTGTGACAGTGAAGAATCCAACTCAGAAGTCTCCTCGTGGAAGGAGAGTGAAAGTGAGAATCACCCATCATCTGACAGCACCCAGAGGAGAACAACCCAGAGGCACCTGGGTGGTTACCAGCTCAGAGAAAGGCCCTGCCTCCACTGCAAAGCCCTGAGAACCCATGAGTGGCTGACGCACCATTTCCCCAAAGAGGCTTCAGCAACAGCCCCGGCAAAGGGAGAGGAAAATTCCAAACCTGAGAGTCACGCAAAACCGAGTCAATTTTGAACTTGATCACGGTCTTATCCTACTTGAAACCAAATGAAAGAGAAGCATAAAACATGAAACATCACAATAGCTCTAGTTGAAGAGACTTTTACAATAAAAACATACTTGCAAGCCAAGAGATAGAATTTCAGACAACTCTTTGTTCAAAAAAAGGCCAGCAGTTTTGTTTATGGCACCACTAGAACACTGGAGAGCTGTGTCCACTATGATTTTTTTCTTTGAAAGAACACAAGACAGATGTTTTATGCCTTGAGTGTATGTATTTTGTTTATGTCTATAATACAAACAAGAAAACTCTTTGAAAATATATTACTTACGTTGGGAAACTGTTTAGATGTATGCATGTGTCTTGATGATCTGACTGAATGAATGAACTCCGTGGAGGTGGGTGGCTATCCAAAGCACATGGCCAGGGTTCACGGAAAAATTATTCCAACACTTTTTAGAATGACATGGAAGACTTTACTCAATACTCTGTTGCAACAGGGAATATAAATGGAGCTCAACTCCAAATATGACAAGAACAATTGGAGGCTTATAGCCATGGAGCAGTATGGCTTCTTAGGATGGAAAATTACTCAAGGGAGACCCTAAGGATGGGGGATTCCTGCTAACTTAAGCTGACAGGAGTCCTGCTAAAGACAGCCAAGGACTTATATGTCAAAGGAGGGGGACAAGGAATTTGATCAGCTATCAAGGGTGATCAGATATTAAAGAAGGGGGGTGCTCACTCACTTATTCAGCAGGATTCTTGCCAAAATGGGCTGGGGAGGCCACAGACAAGACAGGCCAAGGCAGAGGCCCAGTCGAGAAGGAGCTCAGAGGAGCCCAACTAAAGTTGGTCAAAGAGAGAGTCTTGGCCAGGCACGGTGGCTCACGCCTATAATCCTCGCACTTTGGGTGGCCAAGGTGATAGGATCGCCTGAGCCCAGGGGTTCAAAACCAGCCTGGACAACTTGGCGAGACCTCAAAGCATTAGCTGGGCATGGTGTCGTGCACCTGTAGTCCCAGCTACTTGGAAGGCTGAGGTGGAAGGACCACCTGACCCAGCAGGTTGAAGCTGCGGTGGCGGTGAGTGTGCCACTGTACTCCAGCCTGGGTGACAGAGTGAAACTCTGATTCAGAAAACACAGAAAAAAACCAAAAGACAAAAACAAGAAGGTAGTCCCAAGGTAGCCACAATCCAGGCATAGTTGAGGCTAGGCTTTTCAGTTAAGTGGGGACCCAGCTGCGAGGAGTTCCAGCAGGCTAGGTGGATGAGGGCCATACTGGAGAGCTTCTCCATCTGGGTGGCAGGATCCCACCTGGGGTGTAAACGAGGGCCCAGGGAGAGAGGGCGGGCGAGGGGGGCAGAGCTGTAGGGACTCCGGTTATGGGGCTGTCATCAAAGAAGGGCTGACCTCTCGGGAAGGACTTGGGTCCTTCCACAGCCCAGCACCAAGGCCTGAGCCTTTCATGGGATCGAGGGAGTGGCAAGGAATGGGCCAGAGACCAGAGAGCTGTGAAGTGGAGCCCGGAGCCCTTCCTGACAGGGACAGATTCCTTCACGGATTGCAACAAGGAGCCTGGGAGGCCATGTGGGGACCACAACCACTGGGTCCAGGCCTCCAGGATCCAGGATGTGGGTGACACATTTCAACCCCTTTGTGGGGGCCATTTTCTTCCAACTGCCTCAGGGTCAGGGCAGGCCTGAAGCCACAGGTGGGAAGCAGGACCCGCCAAGATTACGCTTACGCACCGGCCTTTTCGGCCAAGGCTTTCCTTGCTTCTGGTTACCCTCCTCCACTGGTTCTCAGTCAGCATTCATCTTGCCCCCTCATGCTCCAGCGTGCCCTGAAAAGCTCTCTATCTCAGCACTTCTAACTTTTTTGTGTGTTGGAGTCTCACTCTGTTGCCCAGGCTGGAGTGCAGTAACACAGTCACAGCTACCGCAGCCTCGTCCTGCTGAGCTCAAGTGATCCTCCTCAGCCTTCCACATAGCTGAAACTACAGGCGTCACCACCATGCCCAGTCAATTTTTTGATTTATTGTAGAGACGAGGTCTCACCAAGTTTCCCAGGGTGGTTTTGAACTTCATCGTCCAGGCTGGAGTTCAGTGGCACACTCACAGCCACTCTAGCATCGACCTGCTGGGCTCCAGCTATCCTTCTGCCTCAGCCTTCCGAGTAGCTGGAACTACAGGCATGCGCTACCACGCCCGGCTGATTTTTTGATTTATTGTAGAGATGAGGTCTCGCCAAGTTGCCCAGGTGGGTCTCGAACCCGCGGGCTCAAACAATCCACTCACCTCAGCCTCCCAAAGGGGCGGGATTACAGGCTGAGTCACTGAGCCCGGCTAGGCATTTCTCTTATTACATCTTTACAGCAGGCCAGGCTGAAATGTGAACCTGTCAGTCCACCCCACTCCCTCAGCCAATCAAAACAAGATCCCTTTGGATGCAAGAATGGGACAGCCCAACTTTTCAGCTCATGGTTTAGCATAATAATCACTAAAAATCCTTCAGGTTTCCTGTTGAAGGTGAAAGTCTCAACACCCCTTAACTGATCAAAATGTTAGAAATGATAATAAGACCATCTTTTAGTTCATTAACTTATGTATTCAAAAATCTGGCAAGTCTCCTACAAAGGCAAAATGGGTGTTCCAGAAAAAGACCACCCTTCCTCCCATCAGAGTTGGAGAGGGTGGTAGTCACGCGTGTTCTATCCTCATGAGCATATCAATAACTAGGTAGCTTATGTAACTTTTTTTTTTGAGATGGAGTCTCATGCTGTTGCCCAGGCTGGAGTGCAGTGGCCGCTCTCGGCCACTGCAGCCTCGACCTGCTGGGCTCCGGCGATCCTTCCGCCTCAGCCTTCCAAGTAGCTGGAACTATAGGTGCGTGCTACCACGCCTGGCTAATTTTTTTTTTAATTTATTGTAGAGATGAGGTCTCGCCAAGTTGCCCAGGCGGGTCTCGAACCCGCAGGCTCAGGCAATCCACTCACCTCAGCCTCCCACAGGCGCAGGATTACAGGCTGAGCCACCGCCCGGCCCGGTTTTTTATCTAGCTTTTAATTGAGAACAAAAGCTTGGGTCTTTCCTTTCTTTTTTGTTTTGAGTCAGACTCTCCTTCTGTTGCCCAGGCTGGAGTGCATGCTCACAGCCACCGCAGCCTCCATCTGCTGGGCTCATGTGATCCTTCCGCCTCAGCCTTCCAAGAGCTGGAACTACAGGCACATACCACCATGCCTGGCTAATTTTTGGATTTATTGTAGAGTCGAGGTCTTGCCACGATACAGAGACCTTCTAATGTCTGTCCATATTGTCACAGCCCCTAGAGAAGGGCATGGCAAGGGCACAAGCGCTCCTGTACATTCCTGAACAATATTCCTGAGAGCTAATAAAAGGTGTGCTTCCTATGCATTCCCAGTAAGTAATTTCAGAGGATTCTTGACTTCCCTATAGTCTATGCCCAATCCTCTGAAAGATGCAAATCTCCTTTTACTCCCTTTTTCTGAGCGGTCATAAGTTTGAATAATATAGTATTAATGTAATCGTAAGTGCCGTGAACTATATAACTTTTGGATCAATGTAATCATAAACTTTGTGATTTGTATAACATTTGCATAATGCATGATGTCTTAGGTCCTTTACAGTAAGCTTGATTAATACATCTGCTGGGCCGGGCTCGGTGGCTCAGCCTGTAATCCCGTGCTTTGGGAGGCTGAGGTGAGTGGATTGCCTAAGCCCGCAGGTTCGAGACCCGCCTGGGCAACTTGGCAAAACCTCATCTCTACAATAAATCAAAAATTAGCCAGGTGTGGTAGCGCACGACTATAGTTCCAGTTACTTGGAAGGCTGAGGCAGAAGGATTGCCAGAGCCCAGCAGGTGGCAGAAACTCAAAAAAAACCCCAAAAAACAAAACAAAAACTTCTGCTGGGCCCTACTGATAAAAGCTATGAGATACCTCTGATACCTGGCACCCAGAAGTCTGGACAGAAAAATGTCACTATCGATAAATGTCACTGAAACTCAATGTAGCTGAAACTCAAGTTCTATACAATGATCTGCTGGTCACGTGGCTAATGTATAGGTACTAACAAATCTAGACTATAAAAGTGAACTGTAAAAGCCTAGAGGGTGAGCAGAACCATTCTGAAAGACCTTGAGTCTGACTCTGCTCCCTGGATTCAAACTCAGAAATAAACTTCTCTCTATCAGTTCCCGCCCCTTTGACTTATTGGTATAAAGGGGAGCAGCTGAGTGTTACTCAAACCATAATAGTCAAGTTGCCCAGGTTGGTCTCAAACCCATGGGCTCAGGGAATCCTCTTGCCTCCGCCTCCCAAAGTGCTGGGATTACAGGCGTGAGCCACTGCACCTAACAGGTCTTTCTTTTCAAGAGACTCGTCCATGTCAGGTCTTTCTGGCATGGTTCTTCCTCTTTCCCTCTCTTCTTCTTGCTAATAAACTGTTTTAAAACTTTGCTGGCCACTCTGAAATTCCTTTCAGGGTCAAGTCAAAGTGACGCATTTTGTGCTGTACCCCACCTGGCATCACTTTAGCATTTGGGAGATCATCTCACATATACGGCCCCATCATGAAACACGTAGCCAAGTACATTGGGTCTGGGTCTGTGAGCAAGGGGCAGAACTGGTGAGGGAGATGGTTCATGAAACGAGGGCAGGAAACACTGGTTACAGCTGGGTGTTGCTTTTGTGCAGAGTCTGGTATAGGTCAAACTAGACATCATCAAGAAAACCAGATGACTGCCACAACTCTTCCCCATGGCTACCCCTTTCTTGCATGAAAGAGCACTATCTCCCAATAGACTCTATTTAAATATTTTTTTTAACTTTAAAATGTTAAAAATAAAAATAAGAAAAATACAGGCACAAAGTCTCACTTTGTTGCTCAGGGCAGCCTCAAACTCCTGGAGTCAAGCAATTTTCCTGCCTTGGCCTTCCAGAGTGCTGGGATTATAGCTGTGGGCCACTGTGCCTGGCCTCCCAAAGACCTC